ATCTAACCTTTGTGCACTAATCTCTATCTCACCAACAGTTCTCAGTTCCGTCACAGGCCGCACCCTGACCCATCTGGGTGTAGGATTGGGTAACAGAGAGCTTTAACGCCATGCAATAAGTGTCTGATCTCCCTGATCCTTTTTTCGTTTTTCGTTTTTTTCGTTTTTACTGATAAAGTGTGTAGTTTTCTCACATTAAGTTTAACAGAAAGTGTAAGTAACAATAGGTAATCAGTGGTTAAGCGCATAATAATCTTCTATAGCGGCTAGAAAATGAAAGAACGGAAAAAGAGAGTGAAACTTTCCTATCAGCAGTGCCCCTGATGTTTGCCTTGGCCAAAGCACCTTAAGTCTTCCACTTATTAAAGGCATCATATTGTATCTAATGGACGCCCAGTTTCCTGGTATTTAGCAGTGTGAATTTCAGCCCTGTTTCCTCTTCTCCTTCCTTGGTCTTCAAACTTACCTACTTAATCTTTGTATGAAACCTCATTGTTGAGGTATGTTTTTAAGAAGTCATAGCCCTGGTCTTGTTTTAGGTCAACTGTCAAAGCCACTATCTCTGGGAAGTCCTGAAATAGCCACATTTTACCCCCTTTTAAAGAGCACGCCAGAGAAAGGACTTGGAACAACAAGCAGGCATTATCTGACTTGATGCTAAAAAGCAGACTCAGTCAGACAAGCATCCTTACTTAAGCAGTCTCTGGCAGGAAAGTGTAAAAGGTTCATTATCAGGGATTCCAAATGATAGCAAGAGACCACAGACAAAAAAAACCCAAAAGGAGACTTTTTATCACTTCTTCTTTTGTTTTTTTCTTTTCTTTTCTTTTTTGGGGCAGTTGTGACATTTTATTGATTGTAGTGCTGCGAGCAAATGTGCAACTGTGTGGGAGTCAGAAGAGTTAGATACATTTGTAGAGATTGTGTTTGACATGATGGTTAGTTCTGATTTTAAAGGCTCCAACAACTTTTTTGTTCTTTTCTTTTTTCTTTCTTTCTTTTTTTAAATTTCTTGCTCAATGAAAAAAATATGTTTTCTCAACAGCATATTATTCAACTCAACCCACAGTGAAAGACCGCTTCCTCTCCATCTGTACGTCAAAAAGATCAATAACATAACCAGGGCATTGCCACCACAATGAAACTCTGTCACTGTGCCAAGAAGCTCCAAAAGATCCCAATAAATGCGTAGCAAAACTTTCAATTTGTGGATTTCTTGGTGTGGCACTTGCAGCCAATGGGTTGTCAGTCAGGGCCCTGGTTCAAAAAACCCTGAGGTTTGTTTGCTGCTGGTTCTTTTTGGAAACTTGTGGCTTTGTGACATCCTCGGCCCTCCATTGGGCCGTGTTACTGTATTGCCTCATATTATCCAGGGTTGAGGAGAATTGTTTTTGGCAACAGAATGCTAACATTTTCCTACGATGCAAACCTCCAAGTGAGGCCCTCTTCTTCTGCTCACTCCAATGGATGAGCAAGCTTTGTGAGGTCCTTCTCTACCATGGGAACCATGGGTACTTTTCTGATATCATACCAGTGAATTTTGTGACTATGAGAATAGTGTATGTTTCATTCTTTAAAAGACTGACTGTACATGCAAAGCATACATATGTGCCTTTATGGGCTCTATAAAGAGACCCTGTTTGGGGTTGTTGTGCTGTTTTTTTAATAGAATGATTTTACTCTGTCATGTGTTTTAGACTGTGACAGAGCTTGTAAAAACAATAAAGCGGTCCACTCACTGAGGGTCATGTTTTCTTTTGTCCACTTGGTCGTCATGTTCTGTCAATACGAATGGTGCTAAGGTGGCGTTGAAAAACTCCTGACTCTGTCCAATAACAAAAGTTATGCTATGAAAAACTAATAATGGAGGGGTTTTCCCTCACAGCCAGGTCGAAAGCACACGCCACAGACACATAGTGTCACGTGTACAAACACACACAGTTACGCATATTCCTAATGAGGGTCTGGACAGCTCTTGGTGGAAGGATTCTGCAGGTGGCTGCACTTTCATCAAGCCACGACTGGATTTGTTTATGTTTGAGGTCATATGGGCCAGAGAGAGACATTTGTGTGCCCAGACACACATTTTACACACTCTGTCTAATTACCCTCACTTCAGTGTTTTCTCTTTTCCATAAGACATATTGACATGTCAGCATTCAGCAGGCTAGATACAGAACAAATGGACAATTTTACCTCTCTCTGTGTGTAGTGGAAAATCTATCCCTCAACATAGGCCGGTCTGTATTTCGACCTGTCTCTTCAACCAAGAGTAAAGTCACTTTGAGGCAATGGTGACACGTGCAATAAATCATAGGTCTGCCAGTCAGTGGCCAATCACATTTTCCTTCCCTAATTAATAGCTTATTTATTTGTTTGGCAGAGTCCTGCTGCAAGGGTACAATATTCGTAGCGTGTGTTTGTCTGGTAAGTGTGTGAGGGTATTATGTGAGTCAGTGTGTACACACAACTTGCCAATGTTGAAAGAGCATCTCCACCTGTCTTTGTCAACTTTAGATCACAGAGTACCCTGTTAACCACTAATCTTTATATTTAACTTCCCCCAAAAAATGGGTTGCTTCACAATAGACAATCTACATTACAAATGCATAGAAATAAAATGCAAGGAAGCTTTATAATTAGTCGGCCATATTTCTGACAATGAGCTCAGTGTTTCTGGACTCAGAAGGGAGGTTTGGACGAAGGAGTGCCCACACAGTCCCGACCCCCAACCTAAAGCTGAAAGGCATTAAGGCATCAGTAAAACCACTCATGTCTGCTTGCATGTCTTCTAGAGTTTTAGGTTACTCTTGCACAATTTGATACACACACACACTTGGCATGTAGCTGAGCAGAGCAGAGGGAAAGTCCAGAAATTGTCCTATAGCTGTTGAACGCCTGGTAGCATTTTAGATGACCCAGCCAAGCTGTTGGTTTTGTAAACTGTTGCAGCTGGTTTGGTGTATTACAAGAAATAGGACAGCACACTCCAAACTGCAGCCTCTCTCTCTTACACACTTTCTCTAGTTTACTGTCACTCTATTCCAATTTTTAAAGTTCACGAGCACTGTTTTTTTACCTCCCAGGCAGACGTAGAAATCGGATATCTTTCTTTCTAATAAATAGTCATGTTGTAATCATGTTAAAAAACCGACGAGGCCTACTTTTGTTCCACAAAATTTAAAAAAATTGTCTGTTTATTTTGTGCCGGTTTATGACCGCTTGTTCCTTTAAATCATGACGTTGGCATCTGTGGCTGCTTTTTTCATCAAGAATAAACTTTGTCGTGGTTTCTTTTTTTCATCCATATGCCCCTGTAATTTACTAAACTGAAATAATGAACATAAAATTTGATATACAAGAAATGCTTTATAATAAAAGAAAATTTAAAAAACGCACAAAATTGGAGGATCAGCAAAGTTTGTTCATTTTTCACAAACTTATGCTAGCATGCCTGTAACATAAGTTACCAAATCAGCAGGGACACTTATATTTTCATCTAGCAGCACAGTTTCTATGTGCACATTTTTAAAACAAGGGAGCTACAGTTACAAGTGAAAAATCTTCAATTTGATAGCATGTTTACTGTTGCTTTGTTTGGAGTGGATTTCACAGGAACAGGATGCGTCTGTAAAGGTTTAGATGATGTGTACAGTAAGTAGGTTGAAAACACTTTTGTAAGTGTCTGTGGTGTAATTACTACCATTTGGTGAGGCTTAGAAGCACATCCCTAGACAGCTTAATGTAGAAAACCATCGATTAAGGTACATCCGTGTGCATATGGGCCATCTGGTTCACTGTTTGGCAAGGGGGAGGGAGGGAAGAAGAAGAAAGAGTCAACTTTTCTGCTCTACTATGTACTAAAGTTCCTTTTTTTTCAATCTTAACTAAAGAATAAACAATTGGAGAAACTCACAAGCTCTTTTTTTCCCTGAGGTTCAAGCAAGTGGGCATAACCTAAATCTCATGCACATAATTCATAATAACTTCCTGTGAATTACAGCGTTGTATTGAAAGGTGCATAAAAGACATCGCTGTGAGCCAGAATTTGAAGAATAGCTCAACAGTCTACATGGAGATTCCACAGCAGATAAATATCTCTTTTCCCATCACGGTGGGCCGCATTGGTTAAGGAAATACAAACTTTAATATGTCAGCTCTAATATAAGGGCAGCCAGTCTTGTCACAACGTCCAAACAACATGCATACTGTTAAAGGGCAGATGGGGAGGATAGTGAGCAGGAAAAGGAAGGTTCAGATATGCTTTAAGTCTGCACTTGGGGAAGTTTTATAGGCCTAATTTGACCTAAACTCAGTAAAGTACTATGCTGATCCTCAACTCCACCCCAAACTGCTCTGAAAACAGTCTGCATTTCTTCTTTGATCCTCATTTACCATCAATGGGCTTCAGAGAGGGAGAGAAAAAGACAGGCAAACTTAGAGAGACTCTGGGTTACCATTCTATGTGAAATGCCCTCTCACTGCAGCAGAGTAGCCCGATCTCTTCATCATTCCCCCACTTCCTTCATTTCCTCTAGCAGACACTGGGAGCATTCTACCACCCATCTGCCCCCAGTAAATATTGCTTGAAGGCTTAATTATACACACACACACTGACACACATACACACACACATAGATATTCTCAGTGAAATTTCCTGCAATGCTGAAGCGGAGAATTAACGTCAAATACGGGGTATTCATTCATCAGAATGTGTGCAGTGTTATGTTTGCTTCTGTGTGTGTTTTTGTGACCTCTTAGTCCATTATTATATCCCTCTGGTCACATTTGTAGCCCAGAGGGTGTATGTGTGTGATGAACTGCGAACACCCCGTGCTTTTGTCATCAAGCACCGACGGTCAAACCTTATTTGAAGTGCTGGAATTGATGTTTTCTTTTAATGCTTTGACAAATGTATTTGACTCTCAATCAAAATCAAAACTTGTCTGGCACACTGAAAAGATATGTATATTATATATGTTTTTGTGTTCGCTTTGCAGATGATGAATGACCATGAGGATGACTCCCCTGATAGCTGCATCAAAAAGGTAGGATAGTTATAAATCGTTATACTGCTGTGCAACCCGGATCACTCCCTGAATAACTATTTTGCTGGTTTTTACCAATTAATCAAAACTATCAGATTTCTTGGGAGGATGAAGTAATAAACTGGCATTTTGTAGCAGTCACAGAAAAGTGGGTCTTCTATTCCACATTTGACTGTGTTTGTGGGATCTAAAAAAAATCACTGGCCTCTGTGTGAGGTCATGTGAGCTTATATTTTATTGCAAGAACCTCCACTAGCAAATTTTTTAAAGCATGTTGCCCATCAGTAATGTCCGTCTATGTAGTGCACTGCAACTGCATTCATTGGCTAGCGTTTAAGTGACTAAAGCCTTTATTATCAATGAAGACTGAACAACAGTGATCTGCATTCTAAGAAACCCTCTCTTCACTCAGATAAAAAAGACTGACGCGCACACACACAGACACACACACAAACACACTATGACCGATACGTCTCATTGACCAGTCAGTGACCACTTTATGAGGTGATAAATTTATTGAAGAGGCTGGGCAGTTTGATTTTATGACCAGTGTCACTAGGTCAACAAAGAACAGCAAGAGAGTTCATGTCCATCTAATGGTCCATGAAAGAACAATGGCTTCTGGAGAGGGCACGCTCTTTCTGAGAAATACTAAAGCTATTGCAGGCATAGCCAACTCAAGTCAGTGACCGAGTAGTCGGAATCAGTTATTGAAAACCAACAGCAGTAAGTTATATTGTTTAGCAATATATATTTACAGTATCCCACCAAAACAAGCAAAACCCACTGAGAGCTGAATTTTTTTTTGCCTTTAGATTGCTTGAACTTGTGTTATAGTAGCTCTCAGATCTTTGAGATGGCATTGCTGCAACATTTATTATATTTTTACCTTTGTGTTATCTTACATGACAAAATGGTCAAATATGAGTAGGCTGCTTTTTTAATATAAAAATCTGACTATCTTTGAATAAGTAATTGTGGAAGAGGACTGAACATCTGCATGGCAAAATTTACTTCAAGTCTTTTTAGTGCAGTTTATAATTATGGCTCTTAGAAAAGAAATATGAAATAAGTGTACTCATTTGCATTTCAGGTCAAGGGTCCTGTTGCTGTGGCATCTATAAACAGGCAGGCATGTAAATCACTGACTGCTTGGTTGATTTGAAATCCTACATTAGTCAATGAGCTTATTTTAAGAGTTGACCGCAAGTGGTTTGGGCTGTTCCGTCTTCCCCACATGTTCGTACAATGTGGAAAAACCTACTTGGTTTTATAAACTACCAACCACCTTCCACATAAGAGTGGCCCATGCACTCCAGTCAGCATTCAGCAGGCACACACACACTCACATGCTTAGACGTTTCCATACATGCAGTGATAGGAGCATAGAGTTTTAATGTGTATACACTGAGGCTCACACAGATGACAGAACACAGGCTTACAACATGCCTACCTATGGTTAATAAAAAAAAGCCCAACAGACACACGCACAAAAACACACTGGCCACATCTCATTATGCAGTGTGTGAGTTGCGGTGGGCCCTCATCGGGCGGTGGCAGACCACATGCCTGTTATGAATATGAATGAAATTATGCATGAGCCATTCCTTATGACATGACTCATTCATCTGCATGCAGTCGCACACAAACAGAGGGCATGCACGCATGCACGCACACACAAACACCAGCTTCTTCTGCCTCTACTGTGTCACTACCATTGCTATGCTTGATTAAGGCAGAATTTTAATTTAGTCGTAACTTGTGAATAAACTAGTTCATTGCAGAGAAATGTGTTTGCATAACTGCGGGTTATTAGTTCTCATTTGTTACACTGCGCCACATTCCAGCGAACAGAGTTGCAGTTATGTATATCTATCTATCTATCTATCTATCTATCTATCTATCTATCTATCTATCTATCTATCTATCTATCTATCTATCTATCTATCTATCTATCTATCTA